CACAGAAATCAGGACAGCTACAACATAAATACAGAGAACACCCCCACAGCTTAGGCTGAAAAGAAGGGAGACCTGGGATTTCTAACCTGGAAACACCACTGAGAAGGCTCTGATGCTCCAGAGGGCCAGACACCCTTGCCATCTAGCAGTTTCAATGAAATTGTCAGCTAAAGCAGGCAGATCAAACAAGTGTGCTGTGTTAAGTAGGACTGGCCAGATAGCTCAGCAGATTAAAGGACCTGCTTATGCAGACGCAGGGACCAGGGTTCGATCCCCTGCATACTGTGCAGCCCAGCCCCCAGGGTGTGCTGAGACAAAGATTGAGACTGGGATTACAGACTGGCACGCACCTGTAATCCCAGCGCTTGGGCAGCTGAATGCAAGAGGATCACTACGAGTCTGATCTGTGTAGTGAGACCCTGTGCTAAATACATTTTTTTAAAAAAGCTAAATACATTTTTTCCATTTTATATATATATGGAAAAAATCAAGCATATATTGGGTAGACTGATGTGAGCAGAATCCTGGGTCCAAAAATATAAGTCATGTTTCTAAGAAATGCAGAAAAAAAAATAACTTCATAGCACCACTCTGAAATTATGTGAAATGTCAACAGACATTATAAAAATCATTGGAATACATTTTCTGTAATAATGAGAGATAAGGTTTATAAAATATATAAAGCTTCCAAAAATGTGTTTCTCTGAATCTATCACCTCTATACATATATATATTTTTTAACACACACACACAAATGTACCAACAGCAATCAATTTTTCACAATGTCAAGGCTGGGTCTTGATATAGAGATGCCAGAAATCAAAAAGAGGAAGAGTCAACTGACCTTCAAGGGAGGATCTTGGGCAGCTATGGAAAGAGATAAACTGTCAGCAGCAAAAACAGGAAGGCATGGGCAGGAAGCCAGCCAGGAAGCCCAAGCGTCACTCTTCGGACTGCCAGCCAGAAGCTGGCCCCGTCCACCACCTTCTCCACAGTAGGCAGGAGAGAGAAAAGCCAACTTCCAGGTGGCCTTCCCGCCTCAGAATCTGAGAGGACTCAGAACCATTTGCACACTTTATGAGATGGTTCAGAGCTCAGGAGAAAGTTGGAACTAAACCATTCTATTTCAAAAACAAAACATAATTAAGGAAAAATAAACTAAGAAAGTATATTTTTCTTATTTTTTTTTAGAAAGCCCACACACTATCCTAATCCTCAGGGAGTAGCTTTGTGCTTAAATTTTTCTCTGAAAAGTCAAACTGTCTTACCAAGTTCCTGGAATGTTCTTTGGAGAATTATTAAGAATATCTGAGCCCTTTCTCAGGAATTGGGGAGCAGGAGCCACAGATTTCCACTAATCTATTGATGGGGGACACATAGGGAATTAAACTCATGATCTTGAGCTTGCCAGGCAGGCACTGCGCCCCTGAGCCATGTCCCCAGCCCTTTGGGAATCTTTCCTGTGGCCCTCCCTCCTCTTTCTCCTTTTCTCTGGCCTTCAGGACTCTGTGCTCTACTCCTTACCTGCTCATTTCCACTTTCTTCCCCAGCTCTGAATTTCTTCTTTCTCAGGAACCATAAAAAAGCTGATGGAGAGGAAGATCAGGGACCTTTGCCCTTTCTTCTGTCCCATCCATCACCCCCAACACTGATTTTGTTGTTTTCAAGGTATAACTGATCCCTGAGTGCCTACAAAATACCACTGCACCACCACAATATGATCTGAAGCTTAACAACAATCCTGCATGATAAGAGATCTGTCCCTTCTCTACATTATAGAAGAAAAAGCTGAAGCTCCAAGAAGTTGAATAGCATTCCTGGTGTTTCACAGTTGATTAGTAAGGTAGAAGCTTCACCTAGACAACCATGAGACTTGAATGCCTTCCCTTATTCTAGGATTTAGTTGTGCCGTTCTCTACTTTCTGGAATCTAACGGAAACTACTCAGGAGCAAGGTACAAGAGGTGGTTGGTAAGCAGGACATTTGGTTCAGCCACCATCTTAGAAGGACAGCAAACGGGGTTAAGGAGGACTCTCCAGGGTGGGCACTTGAGGCACCCTCCTCCTCTTCCAGCTTCAACTCTCTTAGCTGTGATATGGGCAGTCCCTTGCTGGTGAATAAAAAGCTTTGCTCTATACCAGATATCTCCTTAACTAACTCAAGTCTCTCATCAGTTGTCAAGTAATCATCCCACTTGGCAGACAGATACTGAAACTTAGTTAGAGTCTGAAGTGCCAAATCCTTATGCTCTCCACTATTCCAGGCTATTCACCTGCCTCTCTCAGTCTTCTTAACAGTAGTCAGATATTATATAAGAACAATGTTCATGTTAATTTCTAAGGTATCCAAAATAAGGGACTCATGAGTCAAGGGACCATTCTATGGCTCAGGACACCTGACCAGCTCTCCCCACTTAGGTTCAGTGTAAAAAGGATAAAAGAGCGAAAGGAGGGCAGCTTGTGGTTATGTATACAAACCACACATTATGTCCCATGCTCATGGTAATGGACCAGGGACATGTGGTGCTGCCTCCAGCCTCTGTGAACCTTAGAGAAGAATGCCCTTGAAGAAGTCTCAGACATAGCTGGGAGCCTTCAGCTCCTACTGCCAGCCCCAGTAAGCAAGACTGACCTCAAGGGTGCAAGTGTGGTTGTGAAGACTGGAGGAGCTTGACGCCTGATTCTTGGAGATGAGAACATTATCGTTACACTCCGTGAGGTTAGTAATCCCAAGAATCTCAAACACACAAAAATGATCTGCATCCACTGTGTCCCATACTTTGCTTGGATCTGATGAAGCAGATGAGCCTTGGCAGAAAATTGGCCAACCTTTTCAAAATTGCTAAGATAATAATGGAAAGATGAGAGTACAATTTTTTTTGAAGGAACTGGGGATTAGAACTAGGGTCCTTGCACTTGCCAGGGAAGCACTTATTCCATTGAGCCATCTCCCCGGCCCCCGAGAGTAAAATTTCTAACCCCAAAACTACTGTGAAGCTCCCTCTCTACCCTATTCACTCCATCCAACTAGTCCCCTCAAATCCCCCTCTACATGTTTCTAGGGTTCAAGTCCCCACTATTACTGCCACTTCCTGAGTAGGACCAGTTAAGTGTTCCGAGGACTTGCAAAGCCTGGCCTACTTGTTGGCACCTGGCCCAGCTAGTATAGACTGTTCCTGCCTGCCAGGAGATGCAACAAAAGGGAGACGCCAGATATGGAACTTTAACCAGTACACTGATTTTTTTTTCAATAATTACTAACTGTCTGGCTGCTCCGAGCCACTGTCACTGAGTTTACTCACTGAAGAAGAGAGTAAACAAGACCCTATGGCATGGAGGGGAATGGAGACAAGCACTCAACCACCCAGCACCGTGTCAGTATTAGGACCAAGGGAACACTGAATCTCAGAAGCACAAACAACCATAGCCCACCAGATTTGGGGGCTCAGAGGGCTTCCTTCCTCACAGAAGGAAGGGGATACTGAGCCATGGCTTGCAGAACCAGCTTCAGTTAACAAGGAGTTAGGTAGATGTAGAGATAGCAAAAGACAAATAGCATAAAACAGATTGAGGATCAAAACTGGAGTTCAAACACTGGATAAAATAGGAAAGATCAGGTCAGGGAGATAGCTCAGCAGTCTAAGCGCCTTCCTGGCAAGCGCAAGGACCCAGGTTCGATCCCCAGTAGTACCTCATGCCGTGCTAGCCACTGAAACTGGGCATAGTGGCTCAGGCCTGTAAACCCAGCACTGGGGAGGCTGACACAGGAGGATCACTATGAGTCCTAGTTGTGTAGTGAGACTCTGTACCAAATAAATAAATAAATCTTCAATTAAAAAAAGGAAAGAAATATCAGTGCTCTTGTGCAACTCACATACTACAAGGGCAACAACAAAATGTAAAGAAATAGGCAAGAAAAATTCAGATAAAAATGAGTGCACTAAAGATTAGATGAAATGATGGGATTAAAAGGAACCGAGAGGGAGAGAAGGGGCAAAGAAAGCCTCTCGGAGGAGCTGACACTCTAGCTGGGAGCTATGTGATGAGAAAATGCCAGCCTCTCTAGGGCTGCAAGAAAGAGTGCCCCAGGCATGGAAAATGACAGAAAGAAAAGGTCTTGCAGCAAGCCTGAGTCTAGCAGTTTATGGAACAGAAAGGTCAAAATGGCCAGAACACTGGAAAGTTTAAGATTAGGTCAGAGAAAGGCAAGGATCAGGTCGGGGACAGTGGTTTGTGGGACATGGCAGGGAGTTTTGACTTGATTCTCGGTGAATGGAGGAATTGAAGCCACAAACAGGATTGCATTTTTGAAAGTGCAGCTGGGAAAGGCAGAGAGCCGAAGCAAAAGATACCTTGTTTGGAAAGCTGCAAGCCCTTTAGCTTGACTAGGGGAAAGGGTACAGAGGCAGAGGGGACTGCAGGGTGGACACTAAGCCACTTTGGAAACAGGACGAAGACTGAAAATTAATACAGCCTCAGACTAAACCAAGCTTGAAGCACCAGAAAGATCATCACCTCCCAATGTCCCCTGCACCCTAACTCCCAATGTGAACTATAGGATGAGTGCCACCTGCTAGGTGCCCTTCCCAAAGCCTGACCTCCAGTTACAGACTGAGCTGTAACACACTAACACCAGAGTTGGCTCTGTCCACACCCCTATCCAACCTCAATTTAACTCCCACCTAACTCCAAAAAATATGTTCTCTGTCCCACTTACACCAATGCATGCCAGGATTTAGATTGGTTCCAGTGTAATAGTCATTGAAAAACTGCTTGAAAATTAACGTTAGGTGACACTGAACACCCAGCACTTCCCTTCCCACACACAGAAGTTACTGGGTGTCATCCTTTGCATGGAAGGCTTTCTCCACTTCCCCCTGCCCCACCCTGTAAACTGATTCCCACAGCCTGGTGTCTTATTCTCCCAGAAATCTTAATGGAAGATCCCTAGCTGAAGGTAACCCACATGCTCTCATATGCCCTCTGGTCTCCTGCACTCACCTCAGTTGTCCTGCAGGAGGGTGAGTCCTTCTTCCCAGTACTCTTCCAAAAGAGGGTCTAGCAGGCTGTACTACAGCCCAGCCTGCTCTGTCTCCACCTCCTCTTCTAGATCTCACTAGCCAGGGTTATTTATTCTCAGTCTGCCCTCCTCTTTCCTGCTCCTCCCTGCTGGGCATGCAGGGTTTTATCCAGAGAGTCCATTAACAGATACCCCTCACAAGCCAACTGTGGGTCTGGATTTCTTCTCAGCATCCACATTCTAGAAAGCTGTGCTAGTGGCGTGGGGAAGGAGGAGCAGTGGATAATGTGAGTCTCTAGAGTTCCCCTCAAATAGGCCTTTGAAAGCTGGCATATATATGTCAGTTCATAATGTAAAGCTGGAGTAAGAAAAGGCTAATGAGACTCAATTTTTTGCCTATGGTCTTTCTAAGGGCCTTTTTTGAAGTCTTTTCATAACCTTATCACATCTAGTCAGAGGGAAGACAAAGAAAGTTTCCAAGCAAAGCCATGGTTAAACACCAGCCTTTTTCCATCCTGAAGCTTTCTCCCCTGTCCTTTTTCTGATGGATCCTGGACCCAATGGACCCAACCTCCCTTCCCAAAGTCCTGGGACTTCTTTGTCTCCCAGGCTCTGGCTCCTGTGTCTGGCCAACTCATTACACAGGTCTCCAGAGACACATCCTCCCATTCCCCAGCCTTAGTTTACTAAATTTCTGGCTGAGGAGGTAGAACTTTTTTTTTCTTTAACCTCCCCTACCCCTAACCCAGCCATATAAGACCAATGCCATCTGGTGTCTTTCTTAAGGGCAAAAATAGTAAGAGAATTTTTAGACAGTTAGAGAACCATTTGAATGCAAAACTGAATACCATAGATTTTGAAATAATTTAAAGCTGTGTTTCTTTTTTGTAGGTTTTTTTTTTTCTTTTCAGTACTGGGGATCGAACTCAGGACCTTCACTTGCCAGGCAAGTGCTTATGCCACTGAGCTGCATCCCTGGCCCTAAAATTGTGTTTCTAATAAATAAAGCACCGTGATTTTTTACTTGGTTTATCCTTATTAACTTATCAGCACCCTAGTTACAATTTCATAACAGAAAATATGCTAACTCAATAAAGACAGACAATGTCAAACAAGACCCTTCTGACTCCCACCACATCAGAATTACTCACTACAGCAGCTTCTGATTGCTGTAGAACTTGCAGCCTGACACTTTCTGCCATCACCTTAGATACATCTCTGTTGCCTCTATTGATTCCCCTCCTCCCATAAGCTTAGAATATGCAAAGACTTTTTCAAGGTTCCTTAGGGACTTTCCATCTGGGATGGAATAACAGGGAGTAGTATCAACCTAAAGGAATAAAAAGGTAGACAAGCTACAGAAAGCAATAATTTGCAAAATATTGGGCACCAGTCAATGAGGGACAATGAGACAGGAGATCAGGCTGACAAATGTAGTCCACAGTTGGCCAGCTTGTGGCCTTGAGAAAGTTCTGTAGCAAAAGCAAAGAACCCAGGAAGGACCTAGAGGACTCCCTAAGTTGAGGTGATGAATTGAGGATTCAGGAAGACCAACCCACATATAATTTGAAAGGAAAGTATCAAAAATGAAAGATCCACATGCCGAGAGAACCCCAGAGATAAACAGAAGGTCTTCCGCAGGAACTCAGCCAAGTGCTGATCAGTACATGCCTGTAAGCAAGTTTCCTGAAGCTGAGGAAAGAATCACTTTGGAAGATGAGAAGTAACTGTGAATTTTGAGATAAGTTAAGTGTGGTAAACAAGAGCCCCAGCAGAAGCCACAGTAAAAGAACACAGTCCCTCACTCAGCCTCTAAAACTTGTCAGAAATGTTTTTCCAAGACCAAGTTCACCATTCTACCATACATGTTAACTGATGGGCTTCGAAGAAGGGAGGTCATATGGGGGGAGAAGGTGGATCCTCTTTGCCTCTTAAAATTGGAACTGAAAATTTATGAGCACCACTTGAAGAATTATTTAACCTAGGAAAGATGGCCATGGGGGGCTCTCTAATTTTCATAAATAAATGCATACTCAAAAGACCCTTTCCTGGGCCAAGCCAGTTAGAAATGTCACACTGAAAAGGGGTACACCATGAGTACATGGCCCTTAGGTTACCTCACCTCTAGAATTTTTGTGCTTTGTACTGCATAGAAACAAAATCTTCAGATCTAGGTTCAAGTGAGGAGAGAATTGTCACTGAGTCACTGTCCTGGTTGCCCCTAGGTGACCTTAGGTAACCACTTAACTTCTTAGCGCCTTGGTTTGCTTAACTGTAAACACTATCTGAAATAGAATGTTATTTATAGATCTTAGCTGATCATTAATAGCTGGAGAAAGTAGTGTTTAGACTTCATATAACACAGAGCAAATAAGGAAAATAATTTATGGAGAAAGGAACCAGAAATGAGGGTTGACAGGGAAACAAGAGAACCTGTTTATTTAAAATGAATCAGAACCCACTCTGCTGAGCCGCCCCAGCCAGAGTTTTCCGTGCCCTTAGTTTCAGGATCTGAAAACATAGAGGAGCATATGACATGGTCCCCAATATCAGGGGAGACAGACAATTCCCATATGGATATTTAAGTTCTATGCTAAAGAATAAATATAAGCCACCATGTAAGATTTGTGGTCGCAGGACAGCATTACATTGGCTTATACAAGTTTGTATTTCAGCACAGACTGAAGGAGACCTTGATGTAGTTAGGCATTTGTACCCTGTCTTCCACAGAGCAACAGTGACACAGAAGTAGCTGAGTAAAAAGATTCCAAAGAACTCAGAGATATCCCAAACTCTCAAAAAAAAAAAAAAACCCACAAGCTAATCTAAATCCAGTGACAAAATAAATCCCAAATGATCCTTAAACATTGTGAAATGGGCAGAAACTGCTCAAAAAGAAAGAGACACTGGAATGGAAGAAAGAAGAAAAATGGGAAGGGTAAAGGAAAAAACTACATATATACATACACACACACACACACACACACACACACACACACACACACGGTAGTTAAGGTAGTTCCACTATGGGCTGGAGAGATAGCTCAGCAGTCCAAGCGCCTCCCTGGTAAGGGCAAGGACCTGGGCACAATCTGTGCACCACATACAGTACTGGCCCCGCCCCCAGGCACACTGCGCTGGCCACCAAAACCTGGGTGTGATGGTGCACACTTGTAATCCCAAGGCTGGGAAGGCTGAAAACAGAAGGATCATTACCAGGCCAAGCTGCATAGGAAGACCCTGTACCAAATTAATCAATAAATAAAAGTTTTTTCGGGACCAGCCAGAAACCTCAACATACTAAAGCTCCTGCTTAGGCAGAGCTCAGCAGTCTGGGTTCAATCCCTGGCATGCCGTTCCGTGCTGAGACGGCGATTGAGACTGGGTGTGGTGTTGCACCTATAAACCCAGCACTTGGGAGACTATAAACAAGAGAATCACTATGAGTCCAATCTATGTCGTGAGACCCTGTAGACCCTGTACTAAATACAAAATAAATCAATCAATGAATAAATAAATAAATGATTTTTTCAAAAAGATAGTTACATTAGTAATTGCTATTAGTTAATTGAAAAGCAAGGTTTATGCTTATATTTTGTGATTATTTTATGCCATCTTGTAATATGAGCAACTGCTCTGAAGATAACCATACACCATACACTAACCATTGTTACTGTCCTATAATCTTGTTTTGAAAAATCATACCATTGTTTTTGTTTTTGTTTTCTTAAAAAAAAACTCAAGTGATATTTCAGTCTATACCAGTGAATAACTTCTGACCTTGGCAGATAAGTTTATTATGAAAGATGAAGACTATTATACTTTAAATACTATTTCCCACTATAAAATTAACGAGCCTCATTTTTTGCAGTTTGATTACTTAGAAGTATTGTCACCAACATTTTTTTTTCTTTTTTGGATACAGTGATCACTACAAGTCAGATCTGTGTAGTGAGACCTTGTAGACTCTGTATTTAAATACAAAAAAAAAAAGTGAGAAAAAAAAAAGCAGCATTAGGAACAATACAAAATTTCACTAAACAAAGTAATTTACAAATCAGGTTCCCAAACCAGGGAAATGAATTTCAACTTCTCTGAAGCTTTTTGAAAAATCTTACCAGGAGATAAAGAATTTTCTGATGAGTAACAATAAATCAGGGTAGCCACACAGAGCCACTTTGGGAAAAGCTAAAATGTCAAAGCCCCATTGGCATGGACCACGATGTGAATGTTCTCAAAAATTTGTACAACAAAACACTAATTGTGATCATTTTTTACATATTTACCACACTTCATAGTTTACAAAGGACATTCACAATATCACTGCTATTTTAGTTTCACACTATACAGAAGAGAAAATGAGATCTACAGTGGTCACAAGCCGGTGGCGGCATTCCTGTGACACATGTGCTGCAGTTGGCTATCTGTTCTCATTGAAAGCTCTAAAATTTTTGCCATCATTATAAATGTAAGGAATGCCATTAAAAGACCTTTTTCAGGATTCTTTCCTGTTTCAAATGAATCTATGCATACACTGCTTTTTACCTGCAGTTCTACGAATGTGAACGTTTTCAATCTGATGTCAAGAGCTAGAAACGGAGGGTGCTGCAGGGCAGTGCTCTGGAGGAGATGCCAAAGTCTATGCAAAGTCATATATTTATCTTCTCCTTATCCATGGTCTTCCAAAAAGGCTAACAGAAACTCCCTCTAGTCAGGGTCTTTTAAAAATATCGGGCAAACTAGCAAAAGGTGAGAAGGAGGCGAAGGTACTACAATCTGCTTCTGAGCAAGGAAGATAGACCTGTACAGACGCTAATGCCTTGGAAGAGTGACATGCGGAACACACTTTCAGATGCATGAACTGTGGAGTGCTGGGATGGCTGCACTTTCAGCATGCCTGCTATTTATCTTTGAATAAAAACACTCTGAATCAGGGAAGGTATGACGAGGTGACAAAGATGCTGAAATCTTTGTGTTTATGATATAGAAAGTGTAGTCTGGCTTTTGAGAAGA